TATATTTTACACTGCTCTGACAGATTACATTACAAACTTTAAAAGCTCACCCCCTCTGCTCATGTGCACTACGGCAGCCTTTAAATCCTAATATGGAAACCTCCTGTCCCCCCAGTTTAATACACCAGCACCTAATAAATTTTATAATGCCCAAAATAATCCCCTGCTTATGTTCCCATTACTATTTTTTATTTTCTTTAAATCATGAGGAAGAATAAATAATTAGACACCAGAAAGTTACAGGAACTGCTGAATTATTACTATTTCTGTTTTCAAACCCTGCCTGAAACCATTCAATGTAATTAGATAAGGTTTATTCAGCCAGAAATGTTTTGTCTTAAGCGCACAACCTCAGCCGCTCTCCAGCTACTTTGTACTCTATGTATTTTTAGTATTATTTTACTATTATATTTCAAGGTGTTTGTCTAATGGTTTTGACTACTGACACAGATGTCATGTAAGCTGTCTGACTCTCAAGGCCCTTTCAACAGTCACCCCTCTACCTAAAAAAYGCATCCACGACCTACTTAACAGGCCCCAAAATTTTCCTCGACCATACCCCACTCATATACACACGAAAAAAGATAGAAAGTTAAAGAGTTTGACTCCTGGATTTATTCCCAATGTCGTCGTATCCCACCTTTAAATAAGGATTTTTTAACCATACGAAATTCCCCACCAGTAAAACACAAATTACAATTCATGGATCTTTCCTTATTACGGGCAATCCCGACTGCCCCAGCACTCCACCATTAATTGTTACTTTGACCCCACCTATTTAAGCACAGTCTTTTATAGAAGACTCACTCAGGCTTTCAGAAAGAGCTCATGAAAAGGCCTTACAAAAAGTAATATTTTTACACGCAACATGCACCAAAAAATATATTAAAACACATATTTCACTACCTAAAGGGCCCAGTTTATTGTATGGTTGTAAACCCCCACAGACCGTTATGTCCAAATGCTTATAACCGTCTTTYAACCGTSCAACTAATCCGCGCTTGTTATGACTACTGGCGAATACCACGCTGCCTTTGCTAAGCCGACACACAGCCATAGCTTAGCAAAGCTAACATGTAGCGGGACTCCTCTAACTCCCAGCCACACACCAGCTAGTGGAAACACAGATCGTCGTACTGTCCTGTTTGTTTATCAAGATGGAAAGCAAAAAATGATTTTCCTCACCTGTTTTCTGGCGCCCAGAACGTGTGACGACCCGGCGTCCCCCCCCGCTAGGCCCAGCAGCCGAAAGCACAAAGCAGCCCCCGCCACGACTTGCAGTCCAACGTCGGGGTCACCAAAACTGTAAGAAAATTCGTATCAATAAACTGAAGTTGATATAACAAACACAAATGTTAAATAAAATGATTTGTAGGAGGAAGGAAAACCATACAACACCAGAATTCTGGAAACGAGTGGGGTTTATTACTGTGCCTGCAGACAGGAAACCCACACTGGCTGAAAAACCAGGAAGTCCATCTATTTATACAGGTTCTTCAATGCCTTCACTCTCCCCCTGCTGACCTATGGCTGAGTCACAGGCATTCAGACAAAATTCTCAGCTAATG